TAGTTAAAGAAATCACTCACATCGCGCGCATACACACATAAGTGCTATCGTCCTAAGGGAAACAGGAAATTCCCATGGGGATGAAGTTATTCGCTCGGTAGGAGCCCGTGCAACCCCGGGGTAAGCGGAGAGGAAAGAAACAAAGAAGTCAAAGTAATTTCGAAAAATAATATTGGAAGTGCTGATTTTGTCAAGAGAAGGGAAAATGTTAAACGAGAAAGCCATGATACGTACTCACGGGCCATGCACTCACATCGTACGTGTCACACCCACACAGAAGTGCTGACGTCAGAAATAAAGGAGGAAACTAACATGGGGATTAAGTTATACCCTCGGTAAAAGCCCGTGCAACGCCGGGCCGCGGGTCAGCTAGTATATATATATATATATATATATATATATTTCAAACATTTTCTTTTTTCTTTTCTTTTTTTGTATTTGTCTAAGTAGGTGAAACGACTTTAAAAAGTGGTTGCAAGTTTGATCATTAGTTTTGCTTGTTTTATATAATTAACATATTTTTAACTTTTAATTCTTACTTCAATGGAAAGTGATGAAAATTATTAGGAATCTCACGGGCCGCAAAATTATTCACAACAGGTCACAAGTTAGCCACCCTTACTGTACAGCAGGAATGAGTGCTAAGTCGATCGCGATCGACCGGTGGACCACCAAGACATTTTGAAGAGACCTCTTTACTAAGACTTAAGAAACGCATACTAAAAGAAACATATTTGTAGAGCAGCAACTCTAGATAGATTGGAGAATCGGCTTTTCACAATCAATGCGAATGTGTTTACTTAAGCAAATTATTTGATAGATGTGTAGACAACATACGTACCTTCACTGAAAACGCACGATGACACTCCACCCATTCACTGCCACCTTAGGAAAGGAAAGCGATCACTACGTTGCTAGGCATATAAATGAATTTTTCCCAACATGCCGATTGTGAGGGAGAATAAATGTAGGGGATAGCTCTTCCCGAGATGGCACGGAATTGGGTTTTTGTGTTGATTTCATGTCCTGCGATGATGCTGTACTCGACAGTGAACGAAGTAAGTACATGCGTCGGTTTCAGATTCATCGGTTCAATTATAGTTATTCAAGCTTACAACTTAACAACTCTATGTTACTTGTGTTTTTGTAATAAACATAGTAATCTCACGTATTTTAAAAGACGGGTACAATGTCGAAAACAAGTGTTAAGAAGAGAAAATATACAATTTTAATACAGAATGGTCACAGCTATACCACTGGTGGATTGCAACACCTTAAAAACATTAGAGGTGGTAGTCCGTACTTTGGAAAAGTCCATCCACCCCTGCTGTACAGGGAGGATGATCATAGTCCTCATTGAGTCATTGGAGTATTGGGAAAATAGGGGAGTAGGTGCCCGCTCAGATGTCGTCCTTATCCTCAATGCTGATTTAAAATGATGATTCTTCGCCACGAATCTTTGTGACACTCCAAAGTACAACGTTAATAAATGGTCAATCAGTCTTGTTTAGTTGAATTTAATACATGTAATTAAGTCTACGAAGTAATGAAAGTAAGAATCAACTAGTCATAACTTTATTGAGCTTTGAAGCTAATATATTTATTGTAAGAAAATCAAAGTATTTTTGTTTAAGTTGGTATTCCTTCTTGTGTTATTGAAGTGAAAACTTCTTTAGCGGCGTTGGGCACTTTTTCGTAGGGGAAAATCTTATGGGTTCGCGTCACCGACATGCTCTGACTGGCGCACGCGCAGTGTGTACTGTTCTCCTTAGACACTTTTTGGATGGGTGAAATCTCATGCTTTCGCGTCACCGACATCCTTATCGCAGTATATCTGTAGCTATCAGCTGACGTATAGTGTTGTGTATATCTTATAAGTGAAATTGAATGGATTTACTGAAAAGTTCAATGTGTATATATTGTGCATTGCTCGTTGCGATTCCGAGAATGGGCAATACATATTAATGATTGCCGTTTATATCTCACCTGTAAAATCTAAGAGACAGATACACCACTTTTTATTCGAAAATTTGATGTTTTATACAAAAGAAGGTTCTGAAATACTCGAAAAAAGTTTGGTGAAATTTATATGATAATGTACCTGATTTTAAGTAGCGATTTCAATATTAACTTTTCAGATGATAAAAATCTACCAGTAATTGAATTTCTAAATAAAACACTTAATTTAAATATGTCCAATGATCGAAATCTCAGATACACAAACTCAGATACACATTTTACAAAATATAAAACGACGACCGATGTGGTTTTTACGCGACACTTAGATAAATTTGAATCAAACCTTTTCCTTTCTTACTTTAGTTACCATAAGCCAATTGTATCTTTTTTAGAACAAAATGAGATAATTGAAAGTACCAAAAGTCTACGTATTGTTAAAATTAATGATGGCAATGATGCAAACAATTAAAATAAAGTTAGAAATCAAGTACATTGAATTTTAAGAAAATACAAATACTATCCATAAATAATATGATTGTATATTAATTGTTATTTCAATTGAATTGTATTTATATTTTGTCATGATCAGTACAGCCCGTAATATATTTGAATAATAAAAAAACCATAAAAACATGCATTTAGTTGTTGCTCGGAGTGTCAATAGATGTAAAAACCAGATTAATGTTGATAATTTTAATTAAAACATTATGAAATTTCCAATTTTAATACTAAAAATTCTAAGTTTTCACTTCTATCGGCAGTCTCGATAACTGCCAATTTTTTTTTATCTAAAACATATATACATTGTGATACCTTCCTTTGCTTTTTATACATCCCTTCTCTCTTATGACACATTACATACAAATTATGCATAATATGCCAAGAACTGAGCATGATCCATTCTTTCTTCAGAATACACAAGTGACCTGTCCTTTCAATTCCTACTATTAGTTCACTCTCTCCCTATATATATAATATATATATCTTGTTCAAATTTTCAATCATTACTAAGATACTTTTTTATTCATCCACTGCTCAAATACATGTTTTAAACTTGCCGTGGACATTTGATGTCAATAAAGTTTTTTACAAATATTAATTCATTAAATGTTGTAGAGAATATATATATAATAAACCCAATGGTGGTTCAACTTTTCAAACATTAATTCATTAATTAAATTTAATTAAATAGAATGAAATTTTCCTTTGTTGACCTAAGTAGGGGTTGAGATTAAGAAATTTTTTTATATTACTTGTCATTCAGGTTACACAATACCTTAAAAATTTCAAATTTATTGATTTTCTTCTTGCATTTTCTTCTGGCCAATATCATTGGGAAGTTTGCCACCAAATTTCAGATCTTTTAACAAATTAGCTTTTGAGATATTTGAAGTTTTCTGAGCTATATGGTTTTGGTTTAGGTTTCATTTTAAAACAATTTTCCACTCTGAAATTGAATTAATTAAAAATATTTTTGTGTGAGTAGAATTAATTCTTTTAGTGTGTGAAATGTTTATTAATTTAAATTTTCATTACTAAAATCATTTCCGCTTACTTATGTTGTGTGAGCTTTTCAAAATCTCATAAATAATTAATTAAGATTGATTTAAAAGTTAACTTTTGCTTTTAAAATAGTTTACATAACTTCTTTCTTTATCATTAAGTTTTTCTGTTGAAAAATTTCAATGGCCAAAACGTTCTGAGGTTGCTTGAAGTAACAATATTTCGAAGAGATGGAATACTACTGAAAATGATGTATCTTTGTATACAAGTATTCTTAATTCAAGTATTGCAGATAAAACTGAACTTTTCTTTGATGTACCAAAAACTACTTTAAACTAAACGTATTGTACTGCTATATTTTAATATTTTAAAGTCGTACAACAAGAGAGTTAAAACTTCCTAAACTGTGCCCCAATTTAAAGCTGGAAAAAAAATTAAATTTTTTAATCAAACCTGGCTATTTTTAGCTTAAGTTATTTATTTATTAGCCCATTATTATTTTGTACACATAAATGCTTTGTGTTTCAAAACTTTTCTGAAAATGTTACGATAAGATTAAGCTAAGCAAACTGTCGACGTAAAAATGCTATAAATATTATGCACAAAATATATTTTGAATTAAAAAAATATATTTTCAGCCATATTTAATTAAAATAGTGTTTTAACGTAGAAATACGTTGGAAAACAACACATTAAAAATTAAAGTTTTACGGGTATTGTTAAGTTTTGTTTTATGCCTTTACAAACTTTAAATGCATTTTTTTTCCAGAATTTTGATTTTTAAGGTACAAATGTTTTTTTAATTCCTAAGGCATTTTTTCTGTTCAATGACAATGTATTGAACTCAATATGCTATTTTTAGACGCTGAAGCTACAATACGACTTTAACCTCTTGAATGTGACCGACGTCTATAAACGTCTCGCTCAGCCAAAGTGTTAATTACCTCGGGCGTATATATACGTCTTACAGAAGTACGATCTTTTCTGTGCACGGATATCCATAAAATTATTTCGAATATTGTAAAAGAACCTTGGCAATGTTTAACTTATTTAAGAGGATTTTCATATTTATTTATTATTACGGTTGAGGATTTTGAATGTGTGGGTGCATATACATATATGTGCACATACAATTTAAAACATGATATATAATATTACGTCTTACACATTGCAATGGGAGTAGATAAAATATCAAATTTTTTTGGTATTATCTTTCCATTTTCAATTCTTCTCCAGCAACTTGATTGCACATTGGCTTTCCAATCCCTATTTTTTCAATTTCAACTTTTAGTGTTCACTTTTTTCCTATGTATATTTATTTATATATATATCTTGTTCAAACTTTCAATCGTTGATAAAGTACTTTCTATTCCTCCATTCATGTTCAAATAATTTTTTAAAACTTGTAGTGGATGGCACTTGATGTTAATACAGTTTTTTCAAATATTAATTCATTAATTAAATTAAAAAATACATAAATAGTAACGAACAAAAATAATAGTCGAACAGCATGCATAGAAAGAAAAATCGTTTATTGTGTCCCTGAAACGCAATGGATAGCGAGTTGGAATTCTAATCTAAAAGTCTGGGTTCGAATCCCATCTGGGATAGCCTAATTTCTGAGAATGAGATTTTTTCCCTAATACTATTTTATTAGAATAATTGAATTTAATTAATGAATAAATAGTAACCAACAAAACAAAATAGTCCAACACCATAAATAGAAAGGAAAATGGAAAATTTCAAGGAAAACCGCTTTCTATTTTGTCACTTAATATTGTGATTCTGTGTCATAGATATATACATATTTATATTAAATGTAACTACTTCATAAAAAGTAATTAAAATAACAAATTTATTTGTTTGCTTAAATAGGAATTAATTTTAAGAACATTTTATATTACTTTTTATTGAATATTTTCAAAAATCTAAATTGCTGGTTTTAATATAAAATTCCCGCCTCACTACGAAGAAAATCTAAGAGAGAAATTTTTCTGTATAATATCTGGTCAAACTACATATCTTAAGAGAAGAATTAGAAATATATATATACGTTCAAATCAAAGTTAAAGAAAATATTAGTGCTCGTACGGGTATGTGTGTGTGTGGGCAAACCAGTTAAAAGAAACTTTTAAATTTTTTTATCTATAATGCCCCACAACCCTTTTTCCCCTTAGGAGTCGATTTCCTCTAAACACGTTCTTACTGGATTTTTACTCAACTCAAGAAACATATTTTCCAAATTTCAAAAACGGGAATTTTCATCTATAACGTCTTTTTGGGAAAATATTTTCGAAAACCCATTCTGAACAAATCTATGTTCATTAAAAAGAATATTCCTGCCAAATTTCAAGACTTAGTCTAATAATTGCGAAGATCTCGGGATGTGCGAGCGAGTCGATTTTCTTTTATATAAGTACAGACTTATTCTATATACCAGGGATGTGGGAAGACTTTTCCCGAATACGGGTTACTTCTAAATGTTTCAGGGAGTTGTGGTCCATCCAGTATCAGTGGCACACACAAAGGGGTCCACGGGTCCAAACCCTCCTCTATAGCCCATGATTTCAATCCCATGTATATAGTAAGTACATAAAATTTAATTAGTATTTGTTATTAAATTTGTTTCATTAATTAATGCTAATTATTTAATAATTTATTTCTTACTGTTCTTTGTCCCGACTTTCTACAAAATGAAAAAAAATATGTTTGGCTTTGTATTGGATTAGGATATGACAATGATGTACATCCGACCCTGTACCACAGCCCCTCGCCCCCTTTGGAAAATTAACGAGTTCGCCCACTGCTCATTGTCATAGGTGTGGTGAGGTATGGAAAAGGTCAAGAATATTTATTATAACTTAATAATAAATACGGAATACGTACTTACTACGTAAATAAAATTTTAAAAAAATCTCACTGTTTTAAAACCACGTTTAAAGCAAAACGCAAAATACCAACATAATAATATCCAATGATGCATTTATATATTAGCAAACAATTCAAAATACATTAAAAAATAAATCTTTTTTTTCTGAAGTTAGTTCTCATAATTATAGTCAGTAGAAGATTTAGTCTAAGTACTGTCAGCCGATCTTGAATATTTACGTTTATAATTACTAGCTGCTAATCTTCAGGCGGTCAACCTAATTTTTTTTGGTGGTAAACCGGTCGATACCGATCGACGTAATATCTACCCCACTTATATATGTTTAGATTTTGAAAATTTTTGCTTACCGTTCCCTGCTACTATATATTACTTTATATAATTTAAAAGTATTTTAGGGTCAAATTTTTAAGTTTTTAGGATCATTTCAATGGTCTTTTAAAAAAATCTTTTAAGTGTTGTTTTTCGGAAGTCCAGCGTAAATAAAGCTTTTTTGTTAAACTGTAGAAAATACTACTATTTTCACGACTGTATTTTTAGGATAATCATATTTCAAACATGTATTCAAATATTTTTAAAATATATTTCTCTACTTCTCATGCAGATATTTCAACCCATTTAAAAATATTTTTAAACACAGATAAACACACCAGTACAAAAGCAAAGGTTATTCATCAAAGCAGTTGTAACACAAAAAAAATTTGAAATGTTTTGTAAGAGAAATATTACGTTTGTCAAAAAACACTGCGCGTTTACGCACGATGTGTCATCAACATTTCAAAATGAATTTTTTTCTTTGGTTAGACAAAAAGGAATAAATTTCTATTTCGTGAGGGTAGTAGCTTAAAAATTCATCCCTTTTTTATTTTTAAGAATTTAAACGTCATATTTAACAGTTTGTTATTTGCGCGCATATTTTTCTTGCATTACATAGAACAATTTCTTGAGGAAAAAAAAAGATTAAAAATGAAAGATTATCTTTGAATTCATATGTATAAATAAAATATTAGTTTTACTATATCACAACTAAACTAATGAGATTCCAATTATAAAATGGGCAGAATAATATAAGTTGTTTAAGGCATCCGACTGCTCTAAAATTGTGAATTTTGACAAAAATTGCACATTTTTTATAATTTTATTTTATAGACCATCTTATTAGCTCTATAAAAATACCGAGTTTATTATTTTCCGTTCTCTAGAACAAAACTACAAGTGTTTCAGTAAAAGCAGATGCCATTACTTTAAGCAAGATGTCATACATTAAACGCGTTTTACTCAAAATGAGTTTTTTTTAAAATGCTCAAACGAGGACAGCGATTGCTGAAATAATTTTGAAAATAATTTACTGAAATTTTTTGTGTATGTTTTCTATAATAGTAGAAGTGTTTCAACCTTCAGATGAATCAGTCACTGTTTTATTACAATATTTACAGTCCTTTATGGAAATATAATCAGTTATTTTAAGCAATTTAATATAATAACTAAGATTAAGTGCTCTAGTTTTTGTAAAAACTAAGATATCTTTTATTCTGAGGTCAATTCAAAAATGAACAACATAGCAACACATCATAATTGAAAAATTGAAAATCTGTTCATAAACTCTTGGTACAGAATGGGCCGCGTGTATGTTATTTTTGTCAATTTTCACCCTTTTCTTTCCCATTTTCTTACACTGTACTAAACAAATCTAAAAACCACACAAAAAAAACCATATCTCAATTTTTTTTTAAAATGTTGTCGCAAGTAGTCGGATACCTTAAGTAAAAGTCATAGTTTTTACATTAAAAATATACTGGATTATCGGAAATATTTAATTTAATACTGTTTATTATGCCATGAAATTGCATCAAAAAGCACATCAATGTGGTTTTTCACAATAATATTTACATTACACTTCAATTCATTGAATATTAAAAATAGGATTAGGAGATAAACGATTAAATAAAGTAGTAAAATGAAGTATTTTTACAATATTTGCAATGAATAGTACTTTAAAAAAAATTTAATTCAGAAAAATACGAATTTTATTCTTAAAATCAACGTGATGGTTGGCTTTCATTGATATCTTTTATACTTGATAATTAAGTATACTAATGATTTATAAATTTTCACTTATATTCATGTAAATATACGCTGAATAAACTTTTATATTTGGAATATTATATGAATATATTACAGATGTTTTTACAAGAGTCATTCGATTATTTAATAAAAAAATATTATACTACGTTTATATTCTAATGTAAGAAGAAAACAATTATATTAATTTATAACTTTTATTGCAAATTAATGCTTTTGAATAATTTATTGTGTGTGGTTTTTCTAAGAAATAAAATAAATCTAATATGCTGTTACGGGTACTTTTATGCATAAAAATACAGCAATCAAAATTGAATCAAGAAATTTAGTTTTAAGTTAAAAAGAACAGTATATATTAAATCTTTGAATAAATTAAATATCGAAAAACTAAAGGAAAAAATTTTAATCAAAATTCAGAGTTGATAATAATCATAACTGAAATTTTTTAATAATTAATTACCAAAAAAATACTTTTTTTTCTTTCTTTTATGAGTACAATTGTAGTTTGATATCATTCAAAATAAAGTTTTTTTTTTATAATCTTTCTTATTAAGTATTGAAAAATGAATAAACTAAATAATTCAGTTTAAATTAATTAACTTTTTTATTTTTATGTTTCCACTTCTGTAGTCATTTTTCATTATCTACTCTTGCGTCACATTTATTGTTTCGAGTTACTTGATTGTAAAATGTCTGTTTTAATAGTTTACTTTTTTGTTCATATCTGACAATGGCATAAAAGAACTGTTTTTGTAAGCGTTAATGACTGTTGTATCAATGTGTGTTCTACTTTTTTCCCTTCTAACTTTCCACGCCTGGAAAACGGCAATATTAGACTTTTTTTTCCCCGACTGAAACTCGATACGGATTCGTTTTCCTGTCTCCGGATATAAGGGGAAAAAACATTTATTTTAAAAATTGTCAGTAATTACATTTTTTTTTTTAAAAAATCAGCTAGAAGTAATTATATGCCTAACAAAAAGAAGAAAGGAAAAGAAGGAATTAATTTAAAAAAGAAAGCAATATGTATCGCAATTTATAAATTAGAGCCGAGAAAATGTTTTATATTAGAAACAGCCATGATGAATAACCGATCAATGAAAGTAAATAAAATTAAAGTCCTAATGGTAGAGAAAAATGAAAAAAGGGTATACGTATTATGTAATTTACTTCAATTTTGAGCGCTTGGCCGTGGTGGCCGGTGGTCAAGGTAGTGGACTCGTGGCTGGCGAGTTCGAGCCTAGTACCTCTGTATAGTGGGGTGATTAACGATAAATCTGTCGAAGCTCAGACATCCTCCGTTGGTGTGGTGTGGAAGTTAGGAGAGAGGTGTGCAAGGTCAGGTATCGTCCTCGTCTCTTGACCATGATTCAAAATTGCATGGTCTGTTCCCAAAAGCCCTCGTGTAGCTGAACAGTGCAACGTAAGGATTGGAGTTAGTATTCGTGTGACAGGTTCGTGCACTGCACTAGATGTCTGTAGTGGAACTCATGACACAGTCAATGCCGAAGTTTAAGAACTTAATCATAGGTTTCATTTGAACTTAATTCACACCGCCCTTCGGATCAACACGAGGGCTATTGTCAGAATGCTCAAGGGAACAGTGTTTACCCGAACAGGGCTTAGAGCTACAAACCGATC